ACCTGAAGATACTCGCCAAGACATGTTCGCACCTTCGCAGAGAAGTGGGCCCCAAGGTCCCCGACCTCGGTTGGGCAAGGTGTGATCGGCAGGGATTTGCTGCCGGTTCGCCAAGTGTTTCAGAACTTGGAGTTCGAACAGAAAGGGTTCAAAGGGAAGCGCTTTTCGGTGTTTAACCCCATAAGCAAAATGCCCGAAGGGGTAACAACATTCATCGACCAATGTGCTTGCGCTATGCTCCACAGTCATGTCCAGGCGAGTGTTGGCAAATACAGGAAGCCCGGAAAAGTTGTTTCCGCACCAGGGAAGCATGGCAAGATTGATTGCCAAAGATATGGACGACGTAGTGCTCACCTCATCTCAACTCCATTCGCTTCCCCAACAAGCCGCTGCCAATTTTCCCCATACATGAATCAAGAAGGGGCGCAAACAACCCATAGTTTGGGGGTTCACAAGTGGTTGAGCTTGTCTAGCCTTCACAACAGTGTAATCCAGCATTTCTGGATTTCCCGCAGCTGCAAGAGGGAACGAGCGAGATGCGGCCCTTGAAAATTACCCTACCGAAGATGTCCACCATGCATGGGACTGCTCAAGCTCTTCCGACCTGGGCCATGGTCATGTTTCCCACGGGATTCATTGAATCCTCATCGTCTAAGTCACAAAGCATGGCCATTATCAACCTCTAAGCAGGTGCTATTCATACCAAGCCCAAGTGAAACGGTTTGGCCCGGGACCCGTCAGAAGTCAATCGGTCCGGTCGACTGGGCCAGCCCACGTCAAGGCATCCGCTGGCCCTGGCGCCTGAGCAACGCCACATCTTAGGAGCACCCATATACCACAGAACCAGCGCCGGGCCACCTACAAATAGTGTGAAGCGCCTTGATTTGAGGTCAACTTCAGCCTAACATGCATTTGGACACTCTTAAAATCACAGGGGGAAGGCAAAGTCTTGCAATTACTCCACTGCTGCTCGCGTCTTGGGGCATTCCTATACCAATGATTTGGTCGCAAGGATTGTACAAACGCATTGGGACTGGAACGAAGGCTCTATTGAGTCTATTGAGGCTCTGCTGGGCAGCAACACTTTGCGGCTGCGCCATGGTTGGCCATCTGTGGGCGGCAACATCGGCAGCATCATTTACCTTTTGCCGACATTGGCCATCTATTCACTAAGCTGCCGTCTGCTGTTACAGCAAACCGCTGTCCCAGAAAAGATTTAAACAAAAACAGAGTGGAATCCCCCCCGCGCAAGGCCGTTGGCCTTGACGAGCCCTCGGGACTTTCTTACAAAGAAACAGGTTCTATCAAAATCAATGGTAGGGCTCCCGGGTCGCAGCACGTGCGCAAACTAATTCGACTTGTATACTTGGAGCTGAGCAAGTGCGCCCTTGCAACTAGCAAAGCAACTTTGCACCACTTGGACAAAACACAGAGGTTGCGCGAACCCGTGGTACATGCTGCATTGGCAACAAGTAGCCTGTCCCCTCCCAAACTCCGGCAGACGTACATGTTCCATGCACAGCAGGATCTCCCCTGACATGTTTGCACGTTTGAAACGAGCTCCCTTGAAACGAGCTCCCATATAATTGCTACTCGGTCTTTGATCAGCAGCAACGCTCCACAAAGAGTCCCTAGAGCAAAGATCATTCGGGCCAGGCCTGTGGCCAGCGCCCTCCAACAAAAGGGGAAACGGGCGCAGGAGATCGACGTGGCCCCGGGCTCTCGTTCAAGCGCCGGAAGGTGTCAGCCAGGGACTGGCCCTCAATCCTGAAACCCAAATCAACAAGTGGCATCTGCGGGAAATCAGCGGCATGATCGCTTCTCGACAAATGCTCTGCTGCAGAAGCACGTGCTGCAACATGTTGGGAAACAGAAAGGGCGCAACACATCAACAATGAAGACTAAAACAAACCAACTCATATTGCAGTCTAACAACAACGCGACCCAACAGCGAAACAACCAAAACATCAAGCAAAGAAACAATCGACCAATCCACAAACTATTACCTAGCCAGCAAAACACAGCCAGCTTGCAATAGACACCAAGCAGTTGGGCCAGTCCGACTCCAAATGTCAAGCACCGAAGCAACCGAGGTGGGGCGTGAACGATGCAAATAGCTGCGCCAGACCCTCGTATGGGACTGTTGTTGATAGAGAGGTCTCATGGCACTGGCACGGCCGCGATTTGGAAGCTCATGAAAGGCCAAGCGCCGCCTTGTTTGCAAAAAAGGCGAAGGCGACACTAGATCAAGTTTCTTCACTGCTGGCAATGGCAATGGCAAGCGCATGGGCCCAGATTGGCCGCGCAGCTCCAGTGTCAAGACCCACTCGAAGCACATTTCGGAGCCCGAAACAAGAAGCTTTTTGCACTGCCCAGGCAAAGGATTTACCTGAGGATTCCCAATCGAAACGCAAGTCAAACAAATTGGTACTGCTTCCCCCCGCGCAGTGTCTAACCCCAACTACCGCCGATTCACCTTCTTGGTGTTGGGGCCCTTGAGATTCCAACCAGACAGGTGGTCAGCAAAACCAAGACCGCCCGCTCCTGAAGTCCCCGAACTTTTCAGCCAGGGCATCCCAGTTGTAGTCCGCAGGTAGCCTCGGTGCGGGCCGCGGCTTTCGGCTGCTTGGCTCCGGTTGCAGCCAGCCCCCTTCGCTACGAATCCTGTACCACGCATGTTTGCAGTCGTGTCTTAAAAGCACTTGCTTTTATCTATCTATCAATATGTTTATGCCACTTGAATTGCGTACCTACCACTGAACAAAGTAATATGATTATACATGTTCTATAAACGTCTATATGCATATGCAATGCACTGTATATGAGAAGAGGCCAGGCTGACCTACCACATGGCCTGTTATTACAGTAGTCACTAAGTCATCACAATCGGGTTCATGGGTTGTAAACAAAAACATAATCAAGCCTTCGGGTTGGCCACAACTGGTAAACATACACGTGCTTACCTACTCATTTACATATTCTGCACAGATTATATTCCCTCGCACCTCGAAGTATCAAAAGATCGCCTCGCAAACTTCAGGCCACCGTGCGCCTCGCAATTCGGGCCCGCCCCCTCTTTGCAATCTACAAAGCTTCAATCAGTGGGTTCTACAAAAAGATGAAAACCAAACAGGTTTGAGAAAGTCGTTTTGGGCACGACATCATGAGCCAGGGTTCCCTGCGCGATTGAAATAACAGCGGGTTCTCTAAGCCGAACCACTTCTGCTGATCGAGCAGAGAACCAAGGACCAAGACATCCGAACAAGTTCCAGAAACGCTTCTTTCGAGAACTCATACTTCGGGATGAGGGGCTTGCCTGGGGCCGGAGAGCTCGCAAGCATTTGTGCTACAAATGTAATTGCAGAACAAAAGTATTTATTGCTCAGGTATGTATGTATTGAACAAACATATCTATCTCTATATATATATATATATAGATATATATATATATGTACATATATATATATATGTATATATATATATATGTGTGTGTGTAGTTGCATACATTATATGCATATTTGCACACATATATAAGACGCTTGTTCTAGCGATGCCTTTTTGCGAGCGCCCTCCTTGCAGCACAACATGCACAACGAGGTAGCGCACTGCAACAACAGAAACGTAACATAACATGAACATGTACTGACAGATAGGAGAAACCGTGAAGTATCGTGAAGTCCTTGGGATGGGTGAACTTTAATATTGCTCAGAGAGTGAGCCACCCCACTGGCTCGCAATCGTGGTCAAGCGGACCTTCCATTTTAAAGAAAGCTAGTAGGCGTTCCTGCTTGTTGTACGTGCCTAATCCAAGGCCAGCTCCTATGAGGGTAAATGAGCTCGCGCATGAGGGTCCCGTGCTTGGGCATCCCCGAATGTCCAGGTCTAAGGTGGTAGCCATCTTCAAGGTACGAGTATGATCAGATTGCTTCAGCTGGCTCCAACAAAAGCGGCGAATACTGTTTCGGGGACTGCGGAGACGCTTCGGGGAACATCCTGCAGGTGCGCCTTGCAGCAATCTGAGGCCACAATGTAGTCATGCAATTAATGCACCATCTCCTTTAGTTGCCAACCCAAATCAGTTTGTGCAACCTGCGTTCTTTCCCAGACTTGTTGGCGTGTTAGATGGACGATGCTTCATCATTATCCTGCATATATTTGCAAAAGGGTAAAAGCGTTCAACCCTTGCAGTTCGACTTCTGGTAGATAACCAACAGTGTTGGTGTCATAGCACCACTGAAAAGTAATTAAACAGCACCAAGCCCGCATGGCTTGTGCCATTTGGCTCCCGGGGCCGTGCAGTCGGGCGGCACAGGCCCGAAGATCTGGCGAATCAAGGGTCGCAAAGGGACCTATGGTAAGCCGCTCCCATACACGCCAGCCAGTGATCGTTGCCAAGCTTGGGGGCAAACGCCAACTTGAACACCTTGCGGCTCTACAGTTTGATCGACCCTTCCACCCCTCGCTACAAGGGAACGCCTCTGTGCGACTCCTTCCACCATGAAACTCCATTGATAGACATGGGCAAGCGTGTCACCTGTGGAAACTGCAAGGCTCCTGAAGGCCACGGAAGATGCACCCACATAGATCCTATCCCTCATCTATCCCCCTACCTGAAGTGGGCGGGTGTGGTTACTATGTTGGAGGCTCTGGCATGACTGGCCCAGTCAAACATAACCCTTTACCAAGGGGCAGGGGGTCTTCCAAAAAGCCGGACGTTTGCCAACTCAGGCAGCACCCAATGGAGCCACATATCGGATTTGTTGTGTATGGGGGCAAGGGTTGATCATCTGTGGAACTAGTGCCGAGTCAAGTCATCATTTGGTAGACTTGGGTACCGCAGTTCTCCACATCACCAGCAGCAATGCAGCACGATACACCCAAACCATCATTGAATCATGCACATAGAGGGGGCCTCCTATGTACATTCTGCGAGTGGTCTGCATTCTGCACACGGTCCAAGGTTGCTGGACAGTCGGTCCCCCTAAGCCCTAGCCCCCGGTTTAGGGGGCCATATCACCCTTGAAGGTGCCAAAGTGGTGGAGCATCAAGAGCCCCTGGAATATCTGAATTAGGAAGCCCACTTCACTGGAACAGCTCAAAGTGTTGGATCCTCCAGCCTTGGCTGGGAACCCTAAAACCTACCCTAAAAACCAGGCCATCAAGCCTGACCCTGAACTAACTCTAAAACTAATCCTGGAACCAACCCTCATTCCTAAACCGCCTGAACCGCGTAGACCAGCCCGAAACCAGAACCAATCAGCCCAAGCCCAGCCTACACCAACCCTCGACCAACCACAAAACAGCCCTAAAGCCTGTCCAAGCAAACTCAAAACAACTCCTGAACCCGTTCCAAATAGGCCCAAACAAATCCAGTTCGCCCCGAAAATGGCCAGCACCTCTGTCGCCAACAATGCTTTTGACCTCCTTTGCATTTGAATATAGAAGGACCCCCACAAGCAAGGGCTTCCTCTTTAAGCAGGTCCTTCACCACACCTGCCTGGCCTGATACTTCTTGCGCTCACCTCCGCCCTCCTCGCGCGTGAGGCACATCTTCTCTATCCTGAACCGGGTCACCACCCGAGGCGACCATCCGCAAAGGCGGATGTTTTCATCTTTGTGGGCTCTATTCGTGGCAAAAATAAAAAACCGGTTCACACATGTTGTTGCCTTCATCCGTGAGCAAAGGTCACACTGTCAACACATCCAATGGGGCCCTCCGGGAGAGTTGCTCCCCCATAGCAGATGATGGTGATTGGCTGGTGCGTGGAAACCTCCTGTTTCCTCGTTTGCTTGTTGTGTTGTGGCATGAGAACCCCTGCTGATTTGCCATCTGTGACCAAAAACAAACCCCAGGCAATGCATCTCTTGGATCCTTGGAGGAGCCTTGGGGGGGTTCACACTGGCTGGGCTTTCAAGCGAGCACGTGGCTCTTGGTAAATAATCACGCGTTTTTTTGTTTTGAAAAAAAAACAGCCGACAAAGCTGTGGGCAGGCGCGACCACAAGGAACCCAAGGTATTCCGCTACTGCGCTCAGAACTCACTGAATATGTTTTCACAAAGAGTCATCAGGTTGGAAAGATTGTCATTCACCCAAAAACAAATCATGGCTGACACCCTGGCAACGGGTCGGCCGGAGCCTTCCGGCCAGCTCTGCAAAGAGCAGGTCGTCCGGAATGGCATGGATGTCCTCCAGGCCGAGATCCTTTTTCTCCTTGGTCCTGGGACGGAGGAACAACCTCTCTGGGGGTGGGAGCGGGAGGGAGGAGGAAAACGCCGTTGACGTTTGTTTTTTGTGGGGGGGGGGGGGGGTGGATGAAAAATGGAAGGGACGCCCACCACATGCCGTTTTTGGGCGTGTTTGGGGTGAAATTCCAAGGGAAACCCGACTCGGAACAAAGGGGAGCACTGGAGATTCAGGGAATCCTCAGGGGCAAAGACCGCAACGGTATGGGGCTGACTGCCGAGTTGAGTTGCTTCGGCAAGCCGTTTGCCTTGCTGGCCCTACGCATGCAAAGGCAACGCACAAGGCTGCCACAGGAAGCAGATAGTTTTGCTGACAAAGTATCTGCTAGAGACTCCTTGCGAATCCGGGGATCAACTGTTGGTGTTGGGGCGGATCAGTTAACAATCACATGGTTGCTGAATGCCCTACTACACCCTTTAAAACGTTGTGCTTGTGGTAGGCAGTGTGTGAAGGCTTCCAACCTCAACGCGTTGATAGCTCTTCTGCGCCATTCCGCAGTTTGGCGCGATCAGCAGAGGCATAGCCTTTGACAAGTCACTCCTTGCCTGAACGCCATGTAGCTCTGAGCCCATCCTTGCCGGTTGCTGGTTGCGTATGTGATAGTTAGAATGACCACATCACGCGCTGACGTGGCAAAATATTCCTCGGCTGCTTAACCAGGTGGTTTTGACCAGGTTGTTCAGTGACGCCCTTGTTTATTTTGTTCAGGATGGGTTCACGTTAGCTTTGTTCTGGGTGGGCTTCCCCTTCACAATGACTAACAAATAACGGGGTTCCTGTTCATTCCCATGGGCACTTGGGAAAGGACGGGCTGAACGCTAGCAGCGTTTGCCAAAAAGAACAGGTTCCTTAGAAGATCGTCCTGGAATTGTCAGCTTGCACCAACAGAACCACAAGAACACAAACAAACCACATGAGAGGTACAATCCAGTATCCCCTTGTCCCATCTGCCGACCCAAGGCGGGAGTGCCAGGCGAGGCGCGGAGCTTCCGACGTCTCTTTGCCGGGAGCTTTCCTGAGGCGTCTTCTTCTGGGGACCCAAGGCCTGCAGCCAAATTTCCCCCCAAGCTCGCAAACCTCTATCCTTTGGGGGGTATATGTTTGAACTAACCAGAACAAAAACTCTAGGACTGCCAACCTTTTTGTTGGCATGAAAGTCGTTTTGCAAAGTTGCGACTCAAATGTTAAACGGGTTTGGGGGATGAAGGCTTAATACGGTTCAGACCGAAAGCTGGCACCGTTTGCAAGAAGTACGCTGCCTTGTTCGCTAGCTGCTTGCCAAATCCTCTTCATAGGTATCAGCTGTGCCCCCAGCCCCCTTCCCCGCAGTTTGCAAGGGAGGCATGCCGAACTGGAAAGCCTACACAGGCAGCAAGGCACGCGTCCGGGCAAGTGGCAAACGGCAAGGGTGGGAGTCGAACCCCCTGCCGCGACAAAAAAACACAAGGCCAGCTTCGTGGAAAAGACTCCCTGGCCGCTTTTTGTTCCAAACAAGTTTGTGTCGCAATCAAGATTTGGACGCGTCCAGCCCCACCCAATGAGGATCACGGCGCCTGCTCAAGGGGTAGCGCAAGAAAAAGCAACACCGACGGACGCGGGGAAACGCAGGATCCGCTCATAAACTGGACACTCCACTGGCCAAAATTGAGGTGATTTGATGTTCCTTCCAAGCGGCTCCTTTTGCCGCATCAGCTCAGCCTTCAGACGACTGCTTCGCTCCTCCAGGTTGCCTCGGGCTGCGGGCAGCGCCCACATTGACGAGGAGCCGCCCAAAACAAAAAAACACCTAGAATATCATCGCAAACTCAACCACAAATTCTTAACCCCGCCATCCCCAAACTCCTTCCTCTCAGGACCCGCCAATGGTGGTGGACTAGGACCGAGTCTTACGCGGTTTCATGCCATCGCTTCATGACGGTTGCGGACAAGCGCGTTCATCGTCACCGTGCTCTTCCTTTTCTTCCAGGGTTGCACGAGTCATGGCTGGACATGAGTAGCCATTTGCTACCCACCCCAGCGATCTTCCTCTCAGGCGCCGGCCCTTCCTACTTTGGACGTCGGCTGTCAAGCCTTTGCCCCCTGCTCCTGCTCCGCAGGGGCCCTTCCGCCATCTCGCCTTTTCGCACATGCAGGTCTATCTGCCTTTGCCTCCTTCGAGGACTTACCCATCTTCACCTCCGCGTCGAGTATCCATGACGAAGAAGTTCATCTTCTCAAGTCGCACTCGGTCCTTTTTTACGGATCGCAGAGCTCGTTGGTCACGTCGCCTGCCTCCTGATTCTGCCCTCGCTCCGCCTAAGCGATGCCCTCCTCCATTCCGCGAGCTTCTTGCGCAGGCTTGTGCGCAGCATGGCCCTCTCCACCAGCTCCGCGTCGAAATTGCTCCACGTCGACCACACCATTTTCTCCATGAGGTCATGCTCCATCTGGCCTCCGGCCTCCGCGTCTCTCAGTCATCCACATCAGTACCCGGGACGTGCAGGGTCTCCATGGCTCTAGCAGCGCCCTAATGCCCCTTGACCAAGGAATGAACCGAGACTTCTACGGCGTCCGTCATCGCTTCATGACGAATTCGAACAAGCTCATTCATCACGTTTCCCTGCTATTGGGACGCATCCAGAAGGTCGGCAGACTTTCGCCTTCTCCGTGCAACAACCTGATGTTGGAGTACTTGAGCAAGCCCCGTCCCTCACGAAAACCTTCGAGTTCCCGAGAGAAAGCCGGGGCCAACGCACAAAACAGATCAGAGCCGCAGCCTATTAAATACCTATTACTTTGAAAGGTTGGTTTCAAGCCCTTTCCAGCTCAGCGGGTTCCTGTTTCTGAAATCGTCCCCAAGCCATCAAATGGTTCAAAACAACCCCTTTGGTAGAAACAAAACCCGTCACACAAAGGGGGTTGCTCACGGGAGCACCTGATCCTGTTTCATCTGACTGTTTGGGGGGTTGTGGGGAACACCTAGCATTACTAAATTTAGAATTGGCACTACTAAACTAAGTAAGCACTGGGAATCTGAGACCAAGTCCTGCCAAATTGCAGAACTGGGAATCTGAGAGTAAGTCGTGAAAATGTTAAACTTGGAACTGACAGCGCTAATCAAGTTCTGAGAATCGGAGAAATACTAAACTTAGACTTGGCAATGCTCAAGTTTAGCACTGGGAATCTGAGAGTACAGTAAGTCCTGGGAATACTAGATTTAGAATTGGCAATGCAACATTAATCTGAGATCAAGCCTTGGCAATGATAAGTTTAGAATGGATGGTGCACAACTAAGCATTGACAAGCTGAGGGGGGCCAACCAGACCCGCCGCCCCCCCCCCCCCCGCCCCCCCCGCTATTTCCCGCCAAAGAGGCTCGCCAATGCTTAATTGAGAGTGACATTGTAGAAAGTCCAACGTTGCGTGCAGGCGGCTTGTGGAAGGGCAAGAATTAAAGGTAATTAAGTTGGGAAGTTTATGTGCATGAATGTTATTAAGCGTGATCATGGCTCCATGAAGGCTGGGTAGGCAAGAATCGTGAGAAGTGCAACCCAGTATGCTTCCAGGAACAATCCTGACTGAAGCAACACATCTGTTTTGTTGGAGAACTGACTGACGCTCAACTTGACTGCACTCTCTCTCTCTCTGCCCAAAAGCCGCCCAAGGCACATTGGGGGAGTTTCGCAGAAAGGAGCGAAAGGAGAGTGGACATGTCAAATTTTGGCTACATGTGCTGCTGCACGTGCGGTGTTCTGCTGCCCACACAGGAAGATCTGCGCAGATTGCAAGCCAAGCCGCCTCGGGGACAAACACACTTGCCCGTCGTATGCGTGTTTTCATGGGGCAGTTGAAAGAGTTTGTGCTGATTGTTTGTTTGTTTGTTTGTTTGTTTGTTTGTTTGTTTGTTTGATTGTTTAGTTGAGCAGGGCCTCGCGTGCACAAAGACCCAGCTGACGTGACAAGTTGACTCGCCAAACGGAATTAACCCGGTTGGGCATCTTCTGAAGTGAAGACGGGCCTTCAACCCGCAAACTGATAACTTACAAGCTCAGCATGTCAGCAAGCGTCCCCTGGGACACATGTGACACACCCAGTCTTTGATCAGCAAGTCAGCCAAGTCGCTCAGCCCTTCCGACCTGAGCTGCAGCAGCCGATCACACGACATGCTTCACAGGGAACACCGGACGTTCCCCCGCAAGAAGCAATGCGGGGAACGTGGAAGATACTTGTCAATGATTGCGACTCCTTTCCTTGTGGACGATCAAGGTCCTCTTTTGGCACTTACGATGCAATTTCAGCATACGATTGAATTTGTCATGTTGTGGGAGTCTCCGATTTTTCTCCGTGAAAGTTGCAAGGGAGACACCGCAAACATGATGTGTCATCCAAACCTGCTTCGTAAATAATATGTTGACCCATCTCAAACAGTGGCTTGGAAACAAAGGCCAACACCGACAGAGATACCCTAACCACCACCAATGGTCACCGAATACAAAACTCCTTACCAGGACAGTCTGGACGACTCCCATATCCATCCTTGCATGGATGCGCTTGAGGGACATCTAAATTGCGAGCTATTTAGTGCACACCCAACGGCTGCCTGGCGAATGTAGCTCAGCTCAACCCCCTTGACTTGTGCATCCCGTAAGCACCTTCTGTTCAGCTTGCCTATCCGGGCTCAATGCTCCGAGCTGCTCCTGCTTCTTCTCCTTCTTGTCCTTCTTTTGGACCTCCTTCTGCTCCTTCTGCTCCTTCTGCTCCTTCTGCTCCTTCTGCTCCTTCTTCTCCGTATCCTCGCGGCTCAGGCCGAAGGATCACAACACATCCCCTGATGCTTCATCTATATGCACGGGAAATCAAACCAAAAGCAATGTTTAGAACAAGAATCGCCAAACAAGAACCCTCATGGTTCAACAGGATTCAGTCCGCTTCGTGAGGTCGCAAGCAGCGTGCAGATTCACCCATTCTGCTTGAGAAGGGGAATCTGCGCCTAAAACACGAAGAGTTGTTGGATCAGACGTGTGTATCTTTGAGCCTGTACCGCGGCCTTCAGATGCATCCCGTCCGGGTCGCGACAACATTTAAAGCGACGAAACATGGCGGCCATACAGTCCTTTGGCGGCTTCTCCTTCTCCTTCTCTTTCTCCTGGGCCGCACTTCCAAAGCCGCTTAGCCGCTTTGGTGGGCTGGTTCTATGTTGACCACTTGGAAAAGCTCGTAACTTGTTGCTCAGTCACCCAAAAAAAAGAAGAAGGAAAGGTCAAGTTGTCTGGGAAGATCCGGTTTCACCGGTGGACCTTTCGGAGCGCATAGGGGCAAGGGACCTTCTATGGTTCAAGGTGTCTCAGACGCAAAGTTTCAACACTCCTCCATACATGGACCAAACTGGGTAGGCAGGGCTCGAACAAGCAGAATCTGGAGAATGTGTTAGCTCAATGTCAACTGGGCCATGGTTGAACCAACAGGTTGGATGGTCCGATTGTTTTGGCCAAGTCTAAGTGTTATCCGAGTCATTGCAGAATATCAATAATGAACAAATCCTCAAAGCCTTGGCAAATGCTTCGTTTGCAATTTTAATCAAAGCCATAAGCATGACCTGGCAAATGAAACAAGGAAGAACTTGGGACTACACCCCAAAGGCGTGGCAAATGCAATGAATATAAACACAAACAACATGGCCAGAGCTCCATGTGCTCAACTCCCCTCGAACAAATAAACATATGTCCAGGTCCAGTGATAGATTCCCGTTTGAACCAACAGTGCAACAGGGGAAAGCAACACCAATTCTTAAGGAAATTGAAGAATATGATCCACATAGCTTATTTCCTGCCCCTCCCGCCTTCTCCTTCTTCTTTGACTTCTTCTCGGGCTCCTGGCTCTCCTCGCGTTTGGCGTCGGTTATTTATTTTTCCGCCACTCAACAAGGCAGGTGGAGGAAGCACCCCTTTGCCACGTGCGCTACTGTTTGGGATAAGTCCGCACCTCCGCGAGCATTTAAGAGGAATCCAAAGATAAGAGCATCTCAGAATGTTAACCCATTTGCCCTAGCAATAGGACTGATTAAGCTGGGCACAATAAACATCAGCTAGCAGCTAGACATACGCTGCAAAGGTACCATTATAATAGGTTGTACTAGAAAATGCTAGGCATATGCTGGAAATAAGCCATTTGCACAGCGGTGAAGCAAACGTGTCCCCATGGTCCTCTGTTCTGAGTTTTCACGCATCGAAACATGCGGTAAGAAATATGTGGCAGGTGTAAGTTTAGACAATCCTGGAAATCCTTCATTCATATAGACGCCCTCAGACTCGCTGTTTCACTCCGTTCTGGTATCCACCGCAGTGCCGGCTCGGACACGGTTGCCAGCGCGTTTTGACAGTTGATGAACCCGCGCTTGACAAAGCTTCCAGCAGGACTATGGTGTGACCGAAAGGGTGGAAGACGACCCTGGCACTCCTTCTCTTTCGCAGCTTCAGTGTGTCCGGCTTCACTCTTCGTTGGTGCCCTTGGCGTCTGGCGTTCCACAGCGTGGTCAGTAGGCAGCAAACTTTGAAGATATCACACGCTGTGTGTCCAGTCAGAGCTTGTATCTTCAGCCACTTTGGCACCCACCAACTACATGGTCCAACTACATCCACAAGAAAAAGGCGTTGCCTCACTTCCTGGTAGTGGATAGCGGGAAACATACATGGGCTCACTCAAGCAGCTCCGCTGCTTTGGTGAAAAGTGAGCATTAACATGGACACCAAAAGGTCACCCGTCCTTCCCTTGCAGCATTCCCAGGAAATAGCGCCCCCCGGCGTGCAATTCCCAGAAAATCCTACAAAAAAACAAGTTGTGACCCTTGAAAAAGGCACCCACGCCATCCACGGTGGATTCACCACATGTGACCAAATATGGCAGGCCTCCAAGGTTGTTTCGGCTCTTGGGTCGGCAGGGACAACCAAAACCTAGTGGCAAATTCATCTATTTCTGCAGCAACAATCGGGGCAAGAGTAGGCTCTAAATACTAAACGACACCAAACTACCCTCGGGACAAACCGCTTTCGGCTGGAAGACTTCCTTGCTGAGTGCCAAGCTCCTTCCTCAGCTTTCCGCCGTCCTTTACCACCGGCGGCGCCTGCAGGAGCTAGCAGTGCATCCGGCAAATACGAGTACATGAGTGCACCAATGCGAAAAATCGAAATGGGGGGGGGATGGGAGAAACAACCCATGAAAACATAAGTCAGCAACCCATGGCTGGGACAAGGCAGCCAGACCGGTTTGTCGGGCCCGACATGGAAACCAATCGCACGCAACCCCAAGGCTTGCAAATCAAGGGCTTGCCAGTTTTGGATCATTGCCCGCTGCCAAAAGGCGGCACCCATGGGAGGCTGTTGATGGGCCAGATTTTTCGAGAAAGCCGTTTTTGGCAAGGCTCTGGCTAGGCATTGCCGGCATCCGTCCGAGTCAAGCTTAAGGTGGCTAACGCAGGGTTGGACCAACCTAGCGCGTCCGACCATTTCCTCCCCCTCCCCCAGCCTCTAGTACCTGCGCCGTCCTGGCACAACCAAGGAACTCAGCTTGCTCAACTCCCCGTTCTCAATTGGCTTTGTATGCTGGCTCCAGGGAAAACAATCAACAATATGAGCTCATGTATGTTTTGTCATGTTGTTGAAATTTTGATCTTTACGGCCCCAGTCAACTCTAAACAGCAACTATCATGAAAATGTCGCTTCGCACGGGGTAGGCCAACGATGAAAGAGCATTGAACAGGAAGCCGACCAATTCGGGCACCATAGATGGGCTAGAAACTAACCAATCAATCCATGTCCCCTAAGGATTACGCTCAACTGTTTGTTGTTTGCTCACAAAGGTGAAGAAAAGACTCCAGCGGCCAGAATTTCAGGCCGAGACGCAACATGAATGGATCTCGCCCTCAAGCCAACACACAGAACTGGCAAAACAAACCAGCAAGGACTGGTTGAATTGCGCACGAACTCCTCCAAGCTTGGCTAGCCATTCACAACAACTCTGCACAACTACGGCGATGTGTGTAAATCGACTGGCGGCTGGCTTGCAAAGAAAGGCAAGCATGTATACTGGAGCGCACCTAGTGTTCGCACCTTGAAATACGGGCGATGAATCCAAACCAACAGCGAAACACCTCAAATTCATTGGGCCCCACAAGCTAGCAGTACATCAAGCTACCAGAATCGTGCTTCCTGGCCTTCAAAAAAGCAGCACACCATGACAGTGTGCAGACAGCTGATGCCCTCAACAACGCATGCTTGCAAAGGGACTACACTACAGCATGCCAGCCTATCGTAAGCAAAGGTCCCCGTTGTGGTGTGCAGGGAGCTTGGTTTCCAGCCCTTTATCTCCCCCACCCCCAAGCTCGGCCCGGTCACACCTCGGAAGCTCCTGCGGAAAGGTGGAAACAGTGGGGGCAGAAAAGAGGGCCAGAGGTCTCCTAGAAATTCCAGCGACAGGTCCCACCCCGCACAAACAAACACGCACCCCGGCTGTTGGTTCAGCTGATGGAAATGCAAAAACTGGCAGGCCCTTCAACCATGGCACAAATGTTGTCAAACGTCTCAATGCTTGCTTTCCGAGATGTGGAGGCTCAACTGATTGAAGTTCAAAACCAGCACGGGGTCCAGGAAAAGCCTTAAGCCTTTGCTTGGGATGCTCTCCTTCCAGTTTCGATATGCCCCGTGCTCTTTTGCAAGCGCCTCTGTCAATGCCACCGCTGAACCGCTGTCAGGTTCTACATCCAAGCCTCTCACGGTCCGGAATGCCTTTGCAGAACCAAACTCCTGTCTGTTGCTTTCGTTTGGGGAGCATGCTCAAGCAGCAGGGCAGAAGGATTCACGCGAAAATTCAGGCCCTTGCGCAATTATGCAGTGGCTTTGGCGATAATAAAACCCTCTTTGATGTGTCCACCATCTTTAGATGAGAACAAACATGGCTCCCAATTTGTTCCCAGGTAACGATAAAGCAAACCTGGCTCAGCAATGCAGATCGCGGCTTTTCTAAATCGCGCGCCTGACTCCTCTACATGCCTGCGGGGGCATGAAGGCCTGCTTAGGCTTAATTGTGCCTTCTACACAGTGTTGCCCCAACCCCTTCAGCATGGTCCTCTCACTTTGGAGCCTTTGAAAGGTTGACCTGGGCTTTGCCACAGGGTGCCGGGGTGCCGAACGGCCCCCAGCGAGTGAGCCAAACGCATACAGACTTCTGACGTCAGCAGGCAAGATGGCGCCCAAACAACATCCTGTGGACAAGCAAAGGAGGGGATCAGGTGTCCCTCCGTCACTTAGCTGAGACACGAGAATCGGCCGGTGATAGCTTTGATCAGAGGCCTCGAGCGCCCGGCTGAAGGGATGCCAAGGCGCCGGGCGAGGTTGGGGCAATCGGATCCTCTCAAATTCCGAGGGAATCCTGAAGGCAAAACTAACAAATGTAATATTTATTCTGCGTGTTTGCTAACCTTCATCCGAGCGCTCTTGGTGTTGGCCTGTCGCCGGTGTGAACAAATCTAGCAGTTACACGAGCCGAACTCCGTTTGGAGTCTGCTCGCCGCAAGCGCAGCTTCGTTCCAAGAAATCTCAGCGTGCATTCAGAACACTCGTATGGGTATGAATCGGTATGAATTTCAATAAGGGGCCCTTTGGTGTAGGTAGGGATTTATGTCCACCAACCATTTGGGGGGGGTTCCCCATTAAAAGTCATAGCCAATTTTGTTGGAGAGTGATTAGTAAAGGCCCCCCCCCCTCAAACGAATTGGGGAGGGTCAATAGCGAAAACCCCAAAAACAACATGGGGGTCAGACTGGGACCTGCCTGAGTAGTCTTCCAGTAAGTATTGTTTAGAATTGGTTTAGTATTGGTTTAGTATTGGTTTAGTATTCCTTTGAGCTGGCTCAGTACGGTTTAGAATTGGTTTAGTATTAGTTCAGGATTCTTTAAGTTGACTCATTGCAGTTCAGAATTGGTTCAGTATTGGTTCAGTATTCTTTTCAGTTGACTCACTACAGTTTAGAATTGGATTAGTATTGGTTCAGTATTCCTTTGAGCTGACTCACTACGGACTAGAATTTTACCTGAGAACAGCGGGGCTTTCTTTTTGGCAGGCTGCTCTGGCCAATTTGTTTTTCACAATTCCCCACCCTTAAGCAAACTGCATTGTTGCCTTCCTGGGGGTTCCGTGTGCCACCCCCTTGAAATTTTGTCAGGGTGCATCTTCTAGAAAAGGGATTGATAAGGAATTTGGTGGTTTGGGACAGGAAGCAATCCAGAGATTCTGGACATTTCTGGCTGTACATGAGAACAGCGGGGCTTTCTTCTTGGCAGGCTGCCCTGGCCATTTTTTCCACAATTCCCTACCCTTAAACAAACTGCATTGTTGCCTTCCTGGGTAAGTGGTCAGAAACGTTTCAACCCTCAAAAATAGTCCATTCTTGGAAGGGAACATGTTTTCGGGATTTCGGGCCGATTCTTTTTCTGTAATTCCTACCCTTTTTGCCTTTCAGCAGAGTGAATAATGTTACGATTTGTCTGTATTCACTCCCATTATACTAATCGCTATCCAACATTATAGAAAGAGAGCAAAAGCTCAAAACTGCAAATGAAGCAAGCGCGTCATCAGGGGCTTGGGATTGCACAGGTTCAGGCGTGGCTAGGGCGCTTCAGAACCTGCCTGAAACAACGAGGCACCTGAAATGTCCTGACGTTGACTGACCTTGCCTTACAAAGAGACAACCTTGGCCACCAAAGACGCCATGAACAAGTTTGAACAAGCAAAGCCGTGGTGAGTAGGCATCAAGAAGACGACGGACAAGGATGGCGTACGATTGATGTGCTAACAGGGAGGGAGCGAGGCCACCGTGCCAAGACAATATTGCGTGCAACATTCAGCCGCCATGCTTCAAGCGTGCTCGTTTGAGGTTGAGGTATAGTCCCCATGTGCCAGTCGAAGGGCTCCATAAAAGCTGGGGTCATTAAACAAATGCAAACGTGTTCTAAGTGAGCTCGCCAAAACATCGAGAGATGATCCGATGATCCATCCCCCTTGACGGGTCATGTTGCAAAGGGTTCCATCCCCTCCATCAGCTCAAAGCGATGCTCTCAAATTAGTAAGTTGAGATTTCTTGCAAGTGGAAGATTGGGTGGGTCACCGACTTCCTTGGCCCAAGAGGGCCTATTATGGCCTAGTACGGCCGGTGTCTTGCAACGCTGGTGCCGTTGATTCGCAAAGCCAGTCAGGACTCCAACGGTTCCCAGCTCGCAACGCCTTCAAATGTCCAAAGGTCTGACTGCACGATGGCCATTCCGGGCAACACCTTCCTATGAGCCTCACACCTGGCTATGAGTCTCTCCCATCCTGACAGGATGGAAACAAAACTGAAGAACCTGAAGTAAAGGATCCCGGAACAAATGACCTATTGCGGGCGAATGCTTTTTTGAAGTCCAGCGAGAGATAACTAGGAACACTGCACAAGTCCATTTGAGTAAAACCCTGCTACCACAAATTCTGGGAACACCCCCGACGCTGAAACCTGCTTGAAATCAAGCTTCTGAGGCAGAATGCAGTAGCATGCTCCAGACGGCACCTCCGAAAGAAACAGATGTGCTCACTGCACCACCAAGATTAACATAAAACTCCGCAATGGCATGGATGCTCTTATGTTCACCGCAATTGCACCATTTCTCCCCATTCCAACTCGACTCCAGAAACCAGTTTATCGATGTTTATCGCCCCCCAAATCTGCCAATCCTTATATCCTCGCAGTCTCCCTTCAAGTGACTCGACCCGTGTGGATATGTTATTCCTGACTCTTGCTCAGCCAAGGGCAGCAGCCTTGCGCAAATTGCATCAAATTGCGAGGGTTGCGTGCTGTCAGCCCTCATTGTCTCACCTGCGGCACAAGTTGAGCGATGTCCCACTTCGGGCTTTCTGGGTAAGTGCCACTTGTTGCTCGAGCGGAAAAGCCAAGATGTTGGGAGCTCAGGTAAGAACATAGGCCATGCTACCTCGTTGCATGCCAAAGGACAATAACGGACTCCCTAACCGTCACTAAACCAGCCACAACAAGTCACAAAAAAAGCTAAATTCTCTCCACTTAGCACTGGTTCAGAGTCCAACTTGGAAGCATGGAAGCGCCCCGAATGTGGGTACGAGAAAATCCGGGACCCACAACATGTTGATCGGAACGTCAAAAGGGCGCCGTGCTTTTACTTGGAAGGGTCGCATGGTCG